TGTAACTAATTTAAAACTTTCTACCCAGGATTTGATTATGTTTTAATGAAGTATTATTATAGTAGTACAGGATCTACAGATAGTGTGGAATGACTTAGGATGGGAGGAAGAATGCTTTTAAGTATCATGGGGTTTAAATGGGTACAATCTAGTAATAACGTCTGGGGCAGCACCCCACCTCCCCGACCAGCACTCTCAGATCTCTGTGCGAAAAGCCAGAGTGCTCCCTGCCATCTTCTTCTGGTAGTCCTTGTCAAATTCTTCATTTTGGGCCACAGTAAAATAGTTCTTCGAGTCACCAGGCATCCCTGAAATAAGGCAAAATCTCAGTGATTGCTGCAGGAGTCTAGGGAGAATTGAGTGTACACCCAAGTTGTACAGTGGTATTGCTGGCAAGAATAAGCAATGCAGCATAAAACACTAATGGAAAAATCCAAGTAGACGTGAGAATTACAGGGTTTCAATTGGCAGCGTGGAATATATGTCTCAACTACCTTTCCTCATAAAAGGGGAGATGGAGTGGTCCATGATGCTGCTAGGTAGAGTAGTATAGTTGGTCATTGGGTTTTGCTTCATTACATCAAATGAGGTATGATAGATGATTTTATTCAGAACTTCTTCTGTTATGTCTTTCTCTAGGAACTTCAGTATCTTCTCAATTTCCCTCTTTGGGTCCTGTATGTAGAACAATTACACAAAACAAATATTTTGGGCTCTTCCATTAGGGATGATATTCTGTTTAAATTAAATGCATTTCTAAAGAGATGAGTTAAGGGATTCATTCAAACATATTCAGCAAATATTCTCAAGTGTTACTAGTGAAAGACACTGTACTACCACAGATGTGCAGCAACAAGAAGATTGGGACTATTTCTATCATCAAGGAAATTACCCTGCAAGAAGGAAATTGGGTATAAATTGACCAATTGAGGTATCTGGTGGAGAAAGTATGTGCTTCCTGCACCAAGAGAGAGCACCAGGAGACCTCAAGAGAAGGAGAAATGACATATTCTGGAGGAGATCAGAGAAGGTATAGTGAGCAACAGATAGTGTTGGTCAGTATGATAATTAACTCCAGTCTCTGGGCTATAAGAATTGGCAGCAAATGGTCTATGAGTTTAATAGAAGGCTAATAAAAGGATGAGTAAAAGGGATATCCAATTTACCCAGAAATGAACATGTTTATACCTTGCTTTTTTCTGATTAAAAAAGTTGCAAAAAAAGGAGTTGTAGCTTTAGATTAAATTTTAGAGAACTTCTTAGCATGGTCATAGGTGGTAGTTTTGTAATTCAAGGACATTAATCCAGACTCACAAGGGTTGAATCTGCTATCCACTCATCCACAATGATCAGTTCAATGTCCTAATGTGTGATACTAATCCTGCCAATTTCCTACGGACTAGACCTCAAGTAGTGATCAGGGCATAGAAGAGAGAGAAGGAAGTTGATTTCTTGAACAGAACTATGCACACTTGATAATTAAGATTGCAAAAATCTTTACAATGATCTCATGAGATAGAGATGATATAATTTTGTAGGTAAAGAAACATGGCTCCTAGGTATAAGGATTCAACAAGGTGATCTGGCTAGAAGGCACAAGCTATTTCCAGAGGAAGAAAGATCTTATGGAAAGTGTGAACAAAAGTCAAGATAATTCTGAAGACAAAAATTGTGTTTAGAGCTGAGGAGCTGGGAAGAGTGTCATCGAGAGGTTCTTCTGTTGGTAAGTCCACATTCCAGTGCCCCCACATCCCAGGCACTGGGAGAACATGATGGGGATCATATTGCCCCTCACCTCCTTCATGTCCTCATAGAAGAGGTAGAGGATGCGATGCTGGTCCTTCACATCCCACCATCCCTTTACATGGTCATACCAGGAGCCCCACAACACTGAGGAGGAGAGAGAATGTCAATATGAAACTTACCAAATGAGCCTTACTTATCAAATAAAAGAGGACAGTTACTAAATACAACCAAAATACAAAGATATTGCGCAGAAGGATT